TAGAATACGAAAACATTGGTGAATGCCACAAATTCTCCTAAATCACTCGTACGCACAATTTAAGAACAAATCTGTGCGTACGAACGAGTCTTGCATGAGGCACACTGTTTTTTTTAATTCATTAGATTAGGTTTTTGTGTCAGTAATTTCTGAAGTTTTGGCTTCCCGTAAGCAAAATGTCAATCAGCTGTGCAAAGTAATGTTTACTGTTTGCTATGTGTTTTTTTTTATCTTTTTAGTTCAAAAAGTAATTAAATTGGGACTTTTTGATCTTTAATTGTAATATTGTTACATACTTGCATGGTATCATTTTATTTTATTTTATTTTTTGCTACGGAGTCAAATAGGGTGAGTAAATCGTCCTGTCAGGTTTATAGACGATCTTTGGCTACACTTTCCGTACAGTGGCATTCTTTCAGTGAGTCCGTCTCTCTTTAGGACCTGGGGCGGCTGCCGGGGGAAGTCCTCTGCTGCTGGCGGGGCAAGATAGGCAGGCAGTCGGAGGCAGAGCCCAGAAACACACACACACACACACACGCAAACATACACGCGCACACGCACTCACCCAAGCTCTTCTCTGGTAGAGGAGAGAGCGCAGAGAGGGAGACTAGAGGAACGCGGCAGCGGCTCGTGCGTGCGTGTGTATGCTTGTGCGCGCGCTCGCTCGCTCGCTCGCTCAGTGCTACTAGGAACGACTGGCGAGGCGGAATAATGGAGGGGCTCTGGAAAAACGCCGGAAAGTGACCTAGAACCGACACCAAGAGACAGAGAAGAGCGCGAGGAGAAGGAGAAACTGGTTAAGAGCTCGCGAGGACGAGAAGAAGGACGGAAAGGAGAAGGAGAGGAGTCCAACAGAGGAGAGGAAAAGTGTGGACACGAGGAAAAAGGGGGGGTTCATCTGGAACTCGAACCAGGATCCTAAAGGTGACTCCAAAGGGCTTCTTGTATCAGTGCGTGTGGGTCTGACAGAGCTATATGTACCTTGAGCGTGTGTGTGGTTGGCTCGTGCTGCATGGACTTAAAGGGAAACGTGCGTGTGCGTGTAGCCTCTGTGGCGTGCGTGTGCGAGCGCAGAGGTTGATTTTTTCAGATGCTGAAAAGTGCGTAAAGTGAAGCTGAAGTGACCACTAAACTGGAGTGAAGGGATCCAAAGGA